TGTGTTACACGTCCGAGCCTCACTCCGTCTGGACATGTGCGTGGGCCGGTCTCACCTGTGTTACACGTCCGAGCCTCACCTCATTAGAACATGTGCGTGGGGTGGTCTCCCCCGCCTTCATATCTCGCCTCGACACCACCTGTTGACGTCTGTATGACTCAAGGCTCATCTGTCCTCGCTCTGCCGCCCATTGCGTACGTCAGCCCGGCCGGTCATGTCCTCGCTCCGGATCGGACACGGCCCGCTGTCTGCTGCCGGCGTCCGGCAGACAGCACCACCAGGTGGTGCGCAGACGTCACCCGGCCCTGTCTGTGCTCGGACCCCGTCTGGCGTGAGGTGACGGGCCGCTCCCTGCCCGGCAGGGTGGAGATCTCCAAACTGCGCCGTCGGAAGGCGCTGGCTCTGACGGGCGGCTCGCTGGGACGGAAGCCGGCGCCGGCTGGCCAGAAGCGCCGCCGCCACGGCTCCGACTCCTCCGGCTCCCAGTCAGGTGAGCTGGTCATGCCTCTCCAGCTTCCAGACAGGTGAGCCGCGCATACCTCCCGGTTCCAATTCAGGTCAGCTGCTCACATCTCCAGCTCCCAGACAGGTGAGCTGCTCACATCTCCTCCAGCTCCCAGCCAGGTGAGCTGCTCACACCTCTTCAGCTTCCAGTCAGGTGAGCTACTCACACGTCCTCCAACTCCCAGCCAGGTGAGCTGCTCACATCTCCGGCTTCCAGTCAGGTGAGCTGCTGACACCTCCTCCGGCTCTCAGTTCGGTAAGCTGCTTATACGTCCTCCGACTCCCAGTCAGGTGAGCTGCTCATGCCTCCTCTGACTTCGGTGGTTTTCCAGCCGAGTGAGCGGTTCGTAACTGGGATGGCACCGCAGACGCCCAGCTGTTTGTCAGCTGTATTGCCGTTTCCTCCTTGCGTGATGATGATCTCGTGGGTTCTTGACTTTATGAGGACCTAAAATGGGTCGTTTTTATTTTAAATGGTTCAGTGGTGCCTGATCACGATCTAAAGTTTTGTCCCAAACTTCACCTACGAGTACATCTCTCGAGTTAGGCGTAATGTCTTTATTTGGGGATGCACCATCTCTCGATGTGGTCGCGTGTAAGGATTTTAATAGGTGTCTCAATTCGTCATATTAGTTGCGGGAATGCGTGTTAAGTTCCGTTCTGCCACGCTTTTACGATGATGTACTGTGTGATCGATCATGCAGGCCACTACACCAAAATGTGCAGTAGCACCTTAAGATACACTAGCAAACGCTGCACAGAAGTGGAGCCGCGCAGCTCTGCGTTCAGCTCTCTAAATGCGTTAAAGTGCATGATCATATGTCCCATTGATGGAATGTTGCTTAAGATAGGCGGTCAAACGGTATATACCAGTTAATTGTTTGGATGCTATGTAGCTCACTGTAACTGCTTATGGATCCGTGATTGTTTTCGAGCGGACATCGGCAAACGCGACGCCCGCCGTCGCAAACTTTTGTGTGAAACGCCACTGTTTGTGGTGGCCGTATCAGTCGCCAGAGATGGTGTAACTCTGATTAGAGCTTTGTTCGTGAGAGCTGGAGCTTCCTATACCAAGCCATCGCCTCGCCTCGAGTTGATAACAGCGCCATTTCCTGGCTGTTGGGCACACAGTATAACTACGGCACTAAAAAGGTGGTCATCGCGTACACCGACGGGCAGATCCCAGGTGGCTAGACAGACAGCAGGACTGGCCTGATGCCGTGGCGTTGGTCGGCCCTCGGGCGGGGCCTGAGCGTGTGCCGGGCGGGGCCGGCAGGCGACGACTCGTCGGACGGCACCGAGGACAACACGGAGGCGTGCAGCGAGGTCAGCAGCGCGCGCCGCTCCCGGGACTCGTCGCCACACGAGCGGCCGCCGCCGCCCCGCAAGCGGGCCCGAGCCGCGCCGGCCGTCGACGGTCAGTGGCCGCCCCCGCCGCCGCCGCCGCCGCTGCCGCTCCACCCCAGGCTGCTCGCCCGGGCCGTCCGCTGTCACTGCACTGATCGACCTGCCGCTCGCTGCGAGCTCACCGGTTGTGGTGTGGAGTGATGAATGGGTTTGCTAGGGCGCGGCTAACGTTTTAAAACTACGTTTCTTTTATTAGAAATTTACACTGACTGCACAAAAATGAGTGCATGACCTTCCGTATGCGTAAGATAAAACTACTGATTTGTGCTTTCATCTGCCATTGAGTGCAAGCCGATTTTGAGATCTGTTCAAACTCGCCCACTCACCAGCCCGTTGGGTGGTGCAGTAACAGCAGATGACGCTCGTTGCCGTGTGCTGTGATGGCGCCCTCCGGCCGGCAGAGGAGGCCAGGGGATCGAAGGCGGGCGCTCGTCGCGGCTCGTCAGGAAAGCGGGGCCGGGCCGGCGGCCGCGGCTCGCCGGCCAAGGGCTCGGCGGCCGCCGCCTCCTCCGGCGCCGAGAGTCACGACGGAAACGGTAACTGTCCGGCCGCGCGTGGGCGCCCTGGCGGCCCTCCGCGCACCGCAGTCGGGTGTGGAGAGTTCTGGTTGCCTCTTGTTGATTTTGAGCGCAAGCGATCCCCAGGAAGACGTCAAGTAGCAGTCCAGTCTTACAGTACGGAAGCGGTCCAGTTTCAGGGGCAGTTAATGCATGGTACACGAAAACTGATGACACAAACAGTGCATACTCAGCCATGAAGGTCACCATCATTCTGTCAGTAGCTGGTGTGTCGCCACCCTAGCGCCAGCCGCGGCATGCGCTGGTCGCGGCGCGGCGATGACCCGGCTGTGGTTCTGGGCGGCGATGACCGGGCTGTGGTTCTGGGCGGCGATGACTCGGCCGTGGTTCTGGGCGGCGATGACTCGGCCGTGGTTCTGGGCGGCGATGACTCGGCCGTGGTTCTGGGCGGCGATGACTGGGCTCCCGCCGCCGGCAGAGCTGTCGGCGGAGGGCGGCACGCGCCAGCCGACGGCGGCCAGCCCGCCGGCCAGTCGCCGCCTGGCCGGCTCGGCCGCCTCCAGTCCGGCCGGGGTCAACCGACGCACGGCCGTGCTCTTCACCAAGAAGGCGGCCGGCATCAAGGTAGGCGGGAGTCGCGGCGAGGCGGACCGGGGCAACCGGAGAGATTCACGTGATGTCAGGGAGCCCTGTGGCGTCAGGGGCGGAGCGGAACAGCCGGAGAGGCTCACGTGGTGTCGGGGAGGGGGGGGGGGGGGGGGGTCACGTGTTGTCAGGGGCAGACCGCGGCGGCCGGAGAGGCTCACGTGGTGTCAGGGGTCACGTGGTGTCAGGGGCAGACCGCGGCAGCTGGAGAGGCTCGCGTGATGTCGGGGGTCACGTGGCGTCAGGGGCGGACCAGGGCAGCCGGGGAGGCTTATGTCATGCTCGGGGCGCGTCTTTAGCAATTGTTGCAGGGATGCCTAATTTAGCGTCGGTTTGGTTTCGTTGGCAGTCGTCCTGTGACGTGTTTGGACTGATCTTGTCAGCATGTTCGATGGTGGTCCGCCGGCCTCAGCAGACCGGTGGCCACTTCCAATGGCCTACGGTAACGCGATGTTCACGCCGTCTGTTTGCGGTCTCAGGGTAGTCCGTCTCCTCAGAAGAAGGACGGCAGGAAACGGACCAAGTCTGGGTCACAGCCGGCCAGCGCGGACGATAATGTGACGGTACGTCGGGGCTGGGATTGCTTGTCGCCCACGCCCACGCGCTGTTGGCTATGTTTAGTTTGCTTTGTGGCCGCAACAGGCTTTTAGCTGTCGGCGGGCGACGGGAGTGATCATAACGGCCAAATGCGGGTTCCGGAAACAACTTTTTCAGACGTTGAAATTATTTAAGATATTTGCTGCTTAGGTTTAGACAAAAAAATCAAAGGCGCTGAAAACATTGTCATTGCACTCTTTCTTCACTCCGCTGCAAGAACTTCCCGTTTACTCGTGGTTATTTCTCAAAAGTTCTGGCGTATTTAGTCAACAGCTGGTATCATCACTTTTCCGCGGCAGCGTTGGTGTTATCGTGTCCTCGAGTGGAAAGATCAGTCGGAAGGGAAGGAAGACAGTTACGCTCCCAGCTTCTGTGATAGTGCCACCTGTGGCTGACGGGGGCGCCTACACATCAGTTCGATCGGATTCGAGTGTGTGCTATATCGTCACGATCCATCCGAAGACGTCGACCTTCGAGCCGAGCCCGCTCCCGTCTCGGCGGCTTTGTGTCGCAGCGCCTTCTTCCACATCTCCAGGCAACAATGCCTTGTCCACAATTACTCTCCTTTGCCCACCTCCGTTTCTCAAGGCAAGCGTTTCTCCCTGGACTGAGGTCCTCTTGCTTGCCCTCCCGCCTCTGCTATATGATGGGCTGGTTGGCGGCCGCCCGGCGTGAAGCCGAGCAGCGTCGGTGCTGGAACTGACGGGGCCAAGGCCAGGTGCGCCTGGGTGCTGACCTCAGCCGCCTGGCTGCTGACCTCGGCCGTCTGGGTGCTGACCTCAGCCGCCTGGGTGCTGATCTCAGCCGTCTGACTGCTGACCACAGCCGTCTGGCTGCTGACCTCAGCCGTCTGGATGCTGACCTCAACTGCCTAGGTGCTGACCTCAGCCGTGTGGGCCCTGACAGGTGTCACGCTCCAAGTCACGCTCGACCGACGACGGTGACGAGGAGGCGGCGCCTGCCGGCTCGGGCCGGGACAGCGGCGACGAGGTGCCGCCCACCAACGCCAGCTTCACACAGTACCGGCAGCGGCGAGGTGAGGTCCGCCGCTGGGCACCAGCTTCACACAGTACCGGCAGCGGCGAGGTGAGGTCCGCCGCTAGGCACTAGCTTCACACAGTACCGGCAGCGGCGAGGTGAGGTCCGCCGCTGGGCACCAGCTTCACACAGTGCCGGCAGCGGCGAGGTGAGATCCGCCCGCTGGGCACCAGCGGGAACAGTGTAGTAGAGGGAGAGAGAGGCTGGCCCCAACCGCTCTGCACCGACTGGGAGGTACTGTCATACAAGGCAGCGGCGTTTGGGACCACGGAGGGACCACCGGGCGTCGGCCGAGTCCATCAGAGTTGCGACTCGTCGCGCGCCCGCCTTCTGACGCCGCGCCGCGACTCTGGCAGAGGCGGCGGTCGGCACCGACGATGAGACGGCCAGCGAGCCCGACGACACCGTGCCGCCCGGCATCGAGACGGGCTCCGAGGACTCGGACCTCGACACGGCCGACGACCTGGACGACGATGACGTCATCAGCGGCTCGGAGATCCCGCTGGAGCCGCTGGACCTGGTGTGGGCCAAGTGTCGCGGCTATCCCTGGTACCCGGCTCTGGTGAGTGTGACGGGCGGCTCGCGCACGCGGCGCCCGCTCGCTCTGGGGACACAGCGCTGCCGCACCGCGTTACCAGTGGGTGCCAGCAGCGGCGCTGGAGCCATGGGCGGGCGGTGAATACTGGTGCTCGCCGCCGGCGCTGCATGTTGACCCGCGCTGAGCACGTTGGGGGCCGTGGCCTGAAGCTAACCCTTGTCAGCCACCATCTCTCCGCTTTTTGGTGTAGTAAGTGGCGTCGGCGCCAGCCTTTAAGCACATAAGGTTATATTTGTGTGCAGTTTTTCTGCGCCGTCTATGGGCGAGGGCAATCGCTTTACGAAGGGAGCGCGACGTTCGCCTTCATGCCCCTTTCATTAAGTATAGGGAGTCGGCGACTGCATTGGTCGCATTAGAGCTTGGGAGCCAGGGCGCCACCGAAATTCGAACCGGGGCCCCACGTGGGAATCCAAGGAGGACACCTCCTCTAACGGTGGACCTGGCGGCCCCGGCAGCCGTGTACGCTGAGGTGTGTTGATGGGCCGTTAACGGAGCCGGCCTCCCCTAACGGTGGATCTGGCGGCCCCGGCAGCCGTGTACGCCGAGGTGTGTTGATTGGGCCGTTAACGGAGCCGGCCTGCCCTAACGGTGGATCTGGCCGCCCCGGCAGATCATCAACCCCAAGATGCCGCGCACCGGCTACTTCCACAACGGCGTGCCGATCCCAGTTCCGCCCGACGACGTGCTGGCGCTGGCTGACGTTCACACCGGCCCCATGTACCTGGTGCTGTTCTTCGACGCCAAGCGCACCTGGTCAGTGACTGCATCACCCCGGTGGCCGACCGACCTCAGGTGGCGCCGACGGGCCAGCCAGGCTTCAGCCTGCTCTGAACGCCTCGTTGGTTCTTCGCAGCTACCGAATTTTTCTGATTGGAGTCGCATGCAAGACAGAGATGTATTTGGGAAGCATCCGGAAGTAGACGCTTATCGAAGGCGGACATTGTTCTCAACAGTCAACTGAATGTGACAGAGATGTATTTGGGAGGCATCCGGAAGTAGACGCTTACCGGAGGCGGACATTGTTCTCAACAGTCAACTGAATGTGACAGAGATGTATTTGGGAAGCATCCGGAAGTAGACGCTTATCGGAGGCGGACATTGTTCTCAACAGTCAACTGAATGTGACATACTTGCCTCGTTACTGGGATAACGCTGAGTAATCAAGTTCAGTACAGGGCATGAAATGGCCACAGTAACCGGTGCGCTCGAACAGCCCTAAACATCATCGAGTTTATTTTCCATACCCTTTTTTCCTTGATCCCCCGCCCGGAGGCTGTCCCGCTGCTGACTGAGCGTCGGCCGCTGCCGCGAGACCGTCTTTTGCCGTGTGTCCACTGATGTCTTTTTCCGATCCCTCCCGTGTGCCCTCTGGTGTCTTTTTCCCGATCCCTGCCGTGTCCTCTGGTATCTTCTCCCCTATCCCCTGCCGTGTATCCCCTGGTGTGTTTTCCGTGATCCCTGCCGTGTGCCCCTTGATGTCTTTTCCCCGATCCCTGCCGTGTCCCCTGATGTCTTTTCCCCGACCCCTGCCGTGTCCCCTGATGTCTTTTCCCCGACCCCTGCCGTGTGTCTCCTGATGTCTTTTCCCAGATCCCTGCCGTGTCCCCTGGTGTCTTCGCGATCTTCTTCCATATGTCCCCTGGTGACTTTTCCTCGGTCCCCTGCCGTGTGCTCCCTGGTATATTCTCGATCTCCTGCCGAGTGTCCCTGGTGTCTTCGCGATCTTCTTCCGTGTGTCCCCTGATGTCTTTTCCTCGGTCCCCTGCCGTGTGCTCCCTGGTATCTTTTCGATCTCCTGCTGAGTGTTCCTGGTGTCTTCGCGATCTTCTTCCGTGTGTCTCCTGATGTCTTTTCCCAGATGCCTGCCGTGGCCCCTGGTGTCTTCGCGATCTTCTTCCATATGTCCCCTGGTGACTTTTCGTCGGTCCCCTGCCGTGTGCCCCCTGGTATATTCTCGATTTCCTGCCGTGTATCCCCTGGTGTCTTCTCGATCTCCTGCCGTGTCCCTGGTGTCTTCTCGATCTCCTGCCGTGTCCCTGGCGTCTTCTCGATATCCTGCCGTGCCCCCTGATGTGTCCTCCCCGTCCCCCCCGCCCCCCTCCGGAGCCGCTGCTGACCGGGCGTCTGACCGTCCGACAGGCAGTGGCTGCCGCGCAACAAGCTGGAGCCGCTGGGCGTCGACCCGGCGCTGGACAAGGCCAAGCTGGTGGAGTCGCGCAAGGCGGCCGACCGCAAGGCCGTCAAGACCGCCTACGAGAAGGGCATTCTGCATCAGTGCCGCGTCACCGGCAAGAACGCCACGTTCAGCCTGGAGTCGGCTGACAAGGAGAAGCCGTCCGCCGTCGATCTGTGCTACAAGGGCTCGCTGTGAGGCGCCGCGTCCCGTGCACCGAACTCCTCCCCGTGCCGCGGGGAGGGGCACGGACGCGGCGGGGAGTGGCGCCCCAGCTGGGGAGCGGCGACCGCTCCGCCAGATGCTGGTCGGTGGGGAAGGCACCTATTGGCTGCGGTGTGTCGGGGCACGGTAGCGCTGTCCTGGGTTGCTGGTGTCACGCGCAAGATTCGACCCCGATGCCGTGCGAACTGAGGCCTCCATCCACAGCGAGTGCGTCCGGCTGGTAGGGTAGGCGCCGTGTGGGCGACCCGCGCGCAGTGCCCCCGCCGGCCGGCGGCGGCCTCGGCCAGCTGTGACTGACGCCTGGCTCCGCCGGACCACACTGCCGAGCTGACAGCGGTCCACAGCGAGGGCCGCAGGCGCTGGGTGATGTACAAATGACGACTTTTGAGGCGTTGGCCGTGGTCTGTGGTAAGGAAGGCATTTGAAGGCCAGAGAACTCGGGAGTCACGTATTGTGCTGCCAATGGCTTTGATTTCATCGCCATCGATGTATTCATTTTCACCGAGCATAGTGGCTTGACTAGGGTTTCAGACAACTTGGATCAAGCTTGGTTGTTAGATGTCGTCTTTGAAGTAAATGAGTCGTAAATATACGAGGGAAACTATTGGTTGCCTTGTTTATTCGCCGAGTGTGGTGCTTTCAAGATACAGGAACACACACAACGAGAACAAGAGCACGTTACTTGCGATCAGTGAACCGTATCTTGCATCACCTAGCCTGTGTGGCGTATTCGGAAGTCGCACTGCCCAGCTTCGCTGCATGCGTCGCCTCTGATAACTTTTTACCATCGCGGTACCATCCCTGCTGCTGTGGCCGGCTGGCTATCCGCATGAATCAGCAACCGTCCTGATGTAAGCCGTTGGGGGCGTAGCGATGACGAGTCAGCGAGCCGGTACTGCGGACTCAACGAGGTGGGGTGTTCGTCCAGAGGCCCCACTCTGGTTACCATGGCACAGCGGTCACTTGAGGCTCATTCCTAGAATGTTCGAAACTAGCCTCGTCAGGAACGGACTGAATGCTGTTCAGGATCTCTGGGAACTTACGGATACTTCGTTCACCTGGAAATCGTACACACTTGTTCATACAAGCCGAGGCGGTCATGCCGCAGACAACGCGTCGCATGAGAGCTCTGTGCGTGGCACTTTTCCCAAGAGCAGCCAGCTGCGGCTCGGAGCTGTGGTGATGCGCGCGAACGTAACTGCATCGGGCTCCACTACTTCCTGCTCGAACGCAGCTCTTGGGATGCTGTTTCGCAGCAGTGAAGACATTCACACAGGAATTGGATGGAGCCTCCCAAAACACCAAATAGATCCCCCACACAGATCGTAACACTATGGTTTTTACTCTCGACTATTATGCCCTTGCTGTTTTGAAATAACACGTGCTCTCGCGCACCAGGGCAGACGCGCCTGGTAGTTTGTTCGAAGAAAGTCCATCTGTTTTGTTTCGTCTTATCTCTCAGCGGGCGGTGAGAGGCGAGGGGAAGGTCCCCTCTCTTAGATGACATCAGAGCAGCACGTTCTCAGACACCGGGGCTGTGGAACATCCATGGCTCGACCAGTGGCCCACGCAGCACAAGACCGATAGCAAAGTCGCACTTGAACGTGAGATTCATTCACAGTTGTGTGCGATGTGGTGTTTGCGCTTCATTTCACCAGCACGATGCAAGAACCTTTTGAACCAATAAATCGGCAATTAAATTTTGTCATATCGTAGAGACACAAGCAAACACGGCTTTGGATTTGAAATGTTTTACCGTTTTACCGACTTGCCAAATTTTGAATTGTATGCATTTCAAAGCACTTAAGTATTGGGCGTCAGGTGGAAACTCTGCCCATATTGGGTGGCGAGGAAGGGAGGGAGACCAAGATTGGGGGCCCAGCTCAGCATTTGGGGGCCATGCTCCCCCCAAAAAAGGATAAAAATTTCACCCATGGCCGCAGTTGGTGCTGACAAACGTACTGACGACGAATCGAACGCGACCCATTTCCGACATGTTAATCAAGCGATGCCGTTCGCAGCCACATTGTGACATTTCCCGGCGTGAACAAATAGACACATGACACTAACTTAGTCAGATGACAAGTACATTAGATATCTGGCTTTCGCATAAGCCTGCAATGATGTGCCTAAGCTAGTTGGTTGCTGAGCGGGAAATCTGGACCAGTCATGAACTCGCATTAGCGCAGCGTGCACCGGCGCGCCGCTGTTCGGCGCGCTGTGGCGGACTGAGATGCCAACTGAGCAGCCGTGCTCAGCCATGGGATGGCATAACTTGTACACAGATATCAAAACTGCCTCGGTACGCTGCCGGACAATCATTCAGTCTTTTCAGTAGGGCTCCACTACAGATCTAAAATGACTCGCTAATAATAATAAAGATAATAATAAGAATAAAATTTGTTTCTCATTTGTGATGTTTCATTGTATCCACATATCGGCTCGTCTGCTCTCGCTCCCCCCTGGTTTTCACCACGAGTGGCACAAGTCATAAGAATGGATTCGTGCCACACAGTGATAGAATAGATTGTTGCGTGCTTAGAAAGGGGCTTTTTAAAAGCCAGTGCATTTTCATCAAATAGGTATTCTGATAACTGAACATTCAACAATCAAATTGTGAACAATAAGAGAACGCAAACGCACATGGGATACGCGCACGGGTTGTTGATGAAGGCAAACGCACATGGGATACGCACACGGGTTGTTGATGAAGGAAAACGTACACGGGTTGTTGATGAATGCAAACGCACATGGGATGCGCCCAATGTGGCGTTGACGCGTCGGGACAATGTTGTTCACGCGTCTTCAGTGAGCAGTCATACGCGCCACTCACATACATTGAACGAGCAAGCGCGTCGTGTCTTTCAGTGTGCTGGTAATACATCTATAACTGCTATCGTGCGATTGTCCGCTGCCAAAAACGGCAAGGGTGCTTTTTATATGTAAAAGACAAAGGTGATACCGTCATTTATGGGAATGCTTGAATGAACCAGGAAACGGTATGCAACGATATTAAGAGTTCCGGCATTAGCGTCAGGGTTCATCACAAACAGCCCCGTCTGCGAGCAGTACCCCCATCGACAGCGCAGCTCCTACGAACGGAAGCGGTCTGCTCGCCGCTGACCGGAGCCGGGCGATACCGGCCGACACTGTCCGGAGCTGGGCGACACTAGCCGACACTGGCCGGAGCTGGGCGACGCTAACTGTACACTGTCCGGACCCGAGGGACGCTCGCCGACACTGTCCGGAACCGGGTGACACTGGCCGACACTGGCCTGAGCCGGGCGACGCTGACTGACACTGGCTGGAGCCCGGCGCACAGCACCCCCCCCCCCCCCGCGCCGCTCAGGGCGTGCGGTGGGAGGTGACGCTGCGGCAGGGATAGAGCAGCGGCGAGTGGGTGAACACCGGCGGCCGGCGGCGCGGCGTCACCACTTCCGGCGAGCCGGCCGGGCTCCGCGTGTGGGCCCGCTGAGGCGGCGTCATCTCGACCGCCGAGCCGCGCCGCTCACCGGGGCTTCGCTGCAGCGGCAGGGCAGTGGTGCCGGTGGTACCTGGCCACGGACCGCTGGTGATCATCTGTCGGCGTGTAACGGCTAGCACACCAGTGTGGTACACCACTTTAGACAAGCGTTCTGTTCGCAGATGCATGGGTAGACATTTGGAGCATTAGGGGATATTTTAGTGTTGCAGACGTTCAGACCGGTCTGTGTTGAGCGGAACGTCGGGATGTGCGCCGGTGCAACCACGCACCACAGCCAGGTCAGCACTCGAGAAGAACAGTGGGAGAGATCGTGCGTGATCGACACCGAGTGTTGGAATAACAGCGTGTGTAGGTCTGTGTGACGGGAAGGTCTGTGCCGATGCGTCCAGCTGCGCTGCCGGCCGCGCGCGTCCGACGAACCTGGACGCCTGCAGGCGGCGACACACCAGCAGCCAGTCGGCGCTCAGCTGGTGCAGGTGGTGCGTGTCCCAGGAGTCGCAGACGGGCCAGCGCAGCAGCAGCACCAGCCGCGCCCGCATACGGCTCAGCTCGACCACGAACAGGCTCCAGTTGTCCTGGGGAGCGGCGACCGGGCAGCTTCAGCGAGGCCCGCTCCACTCCGTGCAGCTGTGACAGCAGCGCACACCCTGTTCTCCACAGCTCTGACGACAGTGCACGTCCACGCCATTCTCCACAGCTCTAACATCAGCGTACGTCCACCTCATTCCCACAGCTCCGACGGCTGACCCACTCCTCACAGCTCCGACGACCGCCCACCCCTCACAGCTCCGACGGCTGACCCACTCTTCACAGCTCCGACGGCTGACCCGTTCCTCACAGCCCTGATGGCCGCCCCACTCCTCACAGCCCTGACGGCTACGCACGCCCACTCGCACTCCCCCCAGCTCTGAGAGCAGCGCACGGCCACGGACAGAAGTGCTGGCTGATGACTGGCTGCTCAGATCCTGCTCAAGCTGAACACTGAACCAACACAGTTCTATAGTCCGCCGAAGATAGCGGCTGAACATGCATGATATGGCAATGCTTGCGTGGACTATTCTTGGCCCTGAGTCACCACAAGTAGGAAGTGCATGCAGGTGAAGTGCGTGCTCACAAGCGTGACACATGCCCTTATGTACCTCCTGTAGATTGTCAAGATACATGAAGAGCAGGAGCGGCGTTACTGTATGTAATAATCAAGGCGTCTGACCCAAATATCGCACAAGATGGACTGTTCATCATCTGACTCAAGCGACCGCCAGTCCCGTCGTCGAGTTTACTCGGAAGGGCACTGGACAGCTCGAGGGCGCTGCACATAAGCCGTCTGTGCAGTGTGCAGACTGTCAACTGTGTGTTGGCAGCCGCTGGCCTGTGGTTATGTGACGGACGGAGTAGGTAGGCTGCCTTGCCGGGCGCTCCCCGCCGGGCCTCTACGCTCAGTGAAAGTGCGAAACAGCGCAGCGAGGATCTCAGGATCGCCTACACCACGGCCGCAAGCACTCACTGACAAGGTATTGGAATACTTTGGCGGTGAGACGAGCACCAGTCATCGGTCGAGCCTTTCCCGCTTGTCCCGTATGTTCTCAAGCCAGCCCCCACGACATGAGTCTCTGCTGTGAAGCCCTTGATAATTCACCGCACGATAAGCGTATTTTGGAATATCCATTTATGTACACAGCGAGACAATATCGAACGTGCGTGAGAACCGGAGCTGGGATGGCGGGCGTAAGGGCGGAGGTGACGGTCGGAGTGAAGACGATCCTTAAGATGGAGAACATCGACATCAATGACAAAATTTTTAGGTTGGGTTAAACGCAAGAAAGATTCACGCAGTAATCCGGCTAAGAAAGATGGCTAGACTTTTTAGACGCGAGGACAAAGAGCATCGAAATTCTTGACTGAAAAAGAAATGATTCACCGAATTTGGTATCCGATAGTGATGAGTTAAACGCTTGTTCCATTTTCTTTGGGGTGTTTGCACCGTGGTACCGATCTAGTGTCATTGTGGAGATCTGCAGGCCGGTAATAAGCTCAGTTCGGCCTTAGCACCGATGACCAGAAGCTGAGGGTGATCACCTCGCGGGTGTGGGCGCAGGCCCTACCTGGCAGGAGGGCGCAGGGCAATGTCGGCGTCCTCGGGGGAAACAGTGCATTCCTATTCGGACTCAAATAAAACATTTATTTGCACCGCGTCTTGTCCGTTATGATTATAAAAGTGTGCGAACTTTTGTTCTGCCACTCTTCGCTAACGTTATGTGGTGCATCTAATATCACCGAATGGACCCAGTGATTACAGCTTTCGTAACATACGTTGAAAAGAGTGCTATTTATGGAGTGCTCTTTGATTATTTGTTTTTTTAGAGTAGATGAGCCGGTGTTTAAATTTCATTAACAAGCCCCGCGGAGGATATCAGTTTCTCTCGCTTTCACCCCTGACACAGATCTATCCTCCGGAGATTAAACGACGGGGTTTGTTCCGGATAGGCACGATAGAGTGCGCTCACATTCCACGGCAAATATAGCGAAAATACCGGCAGGCCTTGGATCGCACCGCATCCCGCGACCCTGCCTGACAGGAGCGGCCTAACGTCGACATACCCGTTGATCAGGCGTAGCGTAGATCCATATACGGTGACCCTTCCTATACGTCATTTAGTTTACCGCACACTTGCGGTTCTTAAGCTGACTTTATGGGCTTTGCGCTAACGTTGCAGCCAGATGCTATGCTGACCTGGCTGATCATACGACAACCCGACAGATGCCGCTCTAGTGTCTGAAGAGCCTGTCAGACATTGCCACGGACTTCTCGCTCCAAGCTTGTAGACCGTGTGCTGACCTGATGGGCCTCGTTTTGACCATGCAGATCCAGTGCTGACCTGATAGGCCTCGTTTTGACCATGCAGATCCAGCACCGACCTGGCAGACCTCAAACCACCTGAGTAACCCGGCCCCGGCCTACTATTACTACTGACTGCACTGACCTGACAAAATCAACGATGACATGCCACGCGGGGCATGTTTGGAAGCAAGTACGTGTGCATGGACATAGACGTCCGTGAAGTTAGTGATTTATTTGGCTATTGATTTGGTGACGATGCCCAACCTCGATGAAGACGTGTCAAACGGTTCATTGCTGCACAAGAACGCTGAGTCTGTCATGAGAAATCAAACTCAAGTTCAGATAAATGTGAGTGCCATGTCACCTCAAGGTCACAGGCCGATTTCGGACTTTTAACGTGCGCCCGGGAGCTGGTTGAATTCCCTTCGCTCGGGTCAGGGGTCAATTGGACTTTGACTCAAGGGTGCCAAACAATTTCAACGTCCCTGAGATCTCAAACTAAGAGAGATAGAGACAATAGATTCACAGAACATACCAGCCTGTATGTGAACTCACTTGTGCCAAACTTAGGGTTCCTTGGACATGCAAAAGGTCACTGGTGGTGGTTTAAGGTAAGTGACCTTATTGAAATGTCATGACCCTGGGGTCAAATAAAACCAAACAAGGTCAAACTCAAGGGTAGTGTCTCAAGTGCCCCCAGAACTTCTCGTGCAACCGCCATAAATACCGATGCCTGTTCCAAGCAAAAGATCATCGGGGTCAGTGACTTTGTTTGAATTCTATAAGATCAAGGTGACCAAACATCTACGAGATTGCTCCTATTTTGCCATTTGAATGAGTGTCGGGGTTTACGCTAAACGGTATGCTCCTACAAACAAAATGTCGATCTTGTCATTTTAGTTCAGTGACCTACTCTGACTTTTGAAAAAAAATCATGAAACATGTCTGTTGCGGTCCGTGTCATTAATAACATTGAGTGAGCACCAGCAACTACCTAATAAAAACAGCTCTGGAATAAAAAAGCAGGCTAGTTTTGACCACTTTCCGGCCTTCACCTGACCCTGGATTGATGGTAATTCTAAATTCAATTGGTTTATTGCCCGAGAAACTACCTCAGATAGGCATGGCTGCGTCTCACGCTCTGTTGTTACATCATATTGGACGATTCCCTAGAAATGCCCTTCGCTGACGACCATGGCCAGACTTTAAACTGCCATAGGTTAGCGACCTCACAATGCATATCTGATTTTTACATCGAAAGATCCTCTGTTCAATTCTCTACAGCTTTACAAGGTTTCGCACGAAATGTGGAAGTCTGTTTGGGAAACACCTTTCGGGGGCAGCAATTCAACCCTCACCCGAGCGCGCGTTAAACATTTAAAATCGGCGAGTAACTTTGGGTGATATGGAGTTTCCCTGTCATTTAAGATTGAGCGATCGTGAAATCTGAGTGAGACGTCAAGGTTTATTGATGAACGTTCGTCTACGCGTTGAAAAATAATTCTGATGCTAAAGGGGAATGTTCCGCACTTGAAGATATTAAAGCCAGCATCAAATATGATAAAACAAGCTCACTTATAGCTACTGGCATACTCTCAAGTGGAAAAAAAAATTAAAAGGAAAAAGCTACTGGTGGAAATTTCTCTATCCCATAACACAAAAATCTATTCATTTAGTAAAAATGCTGCTCAATACGTCAGTGTTTGATTGCGTCATGGAACGTTTGCATGACGACGAGGTGTTGCCAAACTGGCCGTGCGAAGTTGCCACCGTAACACTCACTTGCAGTACTTTAAGCTCACCGAGAAGTGACGGGACGGTGTTGAAAGTGTTCGCTAAGGGAAGGGTCTCACAGCCCCTGTACCGAGCCGTCATGCTCGGTCCCCTGGACCTGAAAGGCCCCGTACCGAGCCCTCAAATGCGGCCCACCAGACCTGACAGACTCGTGCCGAGCCATCACGTGGCGTGCTCCGTGCCGACCTGACAGATCCGGTGGTGCAGCAGCCGGTCACGGGCGTTCTGAAGGTGCAGCCACTCAGCCACCAGCCAGTCGGGCACCGAATTGTTGAGCGCAAGTGCCAGCTCCAGGCGCGTCAGCAGCGTCACGCGCCGCGCCTCCAGCCACTCGTGCTGGTCCTCCAGCGACATCGGCGCCGTCTGCGGCAGAGGCGCGATACCGGGGCAGAAGCCGCTCAGTAGACGTTTTGACGTGCTGGACAACTGGTTCATCAGTCATGTGCGTGTTGCCGGGTCGTTTGGAGCGGTGCGCTGGGGTGGGTGGGAAGCATGCATCATTTGCCAATAAACGTGAGGAAAATTTAATGTTCGCACGTGGCAGTAAATATCGACGTTTTGCTGCCGGCCTGCTGCAGTAGGCCCTAAGACGTCTTTGACCGTGATACAAAGACTTCTTGATGTGCTTGGTTTATCGAATTGTTTTAGCAAACTCATCTAAAGGCACTCAAAGCAGTCCCAGCTGAAATGCAACAAATACCAATTTGTTGAGAGCTCTGTTCAGCACCAGGTAAGCAATACCCAACTGACCTGTGCAAAGCCGTGATTGGGGGTCTTCAGGTTGAGAGGGAACTTTTCGAGCGAAGGCACCTCCCGGATGTCCTCCATCCTGGCGGACAGGCTGCTGATCCGCCCTCACTCCCAGCACGGCATGGCCTGACCTTGACCGGGCCGCCGGCCGCCGAATGGTGCCCTCGAGCGCTATCTCAGTGGCGCACACAGTTACACAACGGCGGCGGGCAGTGTGTCAGTGGCGCACGCAGTCTCCTAATAGCGGCGAGTTGTGGTTAGTAACGCACACAGGCACACAACAGCGGCGGGCATAGTGTCAAACGCACACAGGTATACAACGGCAGCGGGCAGTGTGTCAGTGGCGCACATGGGTACACGACGGCGGCGGGCAGTGTGTCAGTGGCGCACACGGGTACACAACGGCGGCGGACAGTGCGCAAGTGGCGCACACGGGCACACAACAATGGCGCGCACAGGCACACAACAACGGCGAGCATAGTGTTAAACGCACGCAGGTATACAACGGCAACGGGGAGTGTGTCAGTGGCGCACACAACCACGCAACGGCGGCGGGCAGTGTCAGTGGCGCACACAACCACACAACGGCGGCGGACAGGGTGCAAGTGGCGCACGCAGGCGCCTCGCGCGTGGAGCGCACCAGCGGCGCACACAGGCAGCTTATGAGGGTCGGCAATACATTACAGCCGTGCATAGGTATGTGTGTGTTGCTCACACAGGGAGCCGCCAGTGATGGGAGGTATGCGTACGCGCGCCTCTGGCGTCACGACGCGTGAGTGATGCGTGTGAGGTACCCCGTCAAAAATGGGAATTATCATTATGTTCGCAATGCAAGTGTAGGAATATATTTCAACGGCATCATAATTTCACACCGCCCGTCCTGGATCGGCGGAGCTTACCGACGGGGCGTGGAACAATCAGCAAGCCGGTCGTGGTCAGGAACCGCCGCTCCGAACCAAACAAAGCCATTAGGCCGAGCGGAGGCTGAGAAGCTGGAGCGGTGTTCCACATTTGTTTGGGGTTTTGAACTGAAATAACCAGTTTGAAGATCATTCGCTGCAGTTCACAGCTCTGTCCTTCTTAACACCCAAACCTCTCTACTTTCAGAGCTATACGCCCGCATAGATATGCAGACTATTTTGGGGAGAGTATTTCAAGGTCACACATGCATTCATGACGCCACAATTAGCGTCATTCATATCCTGTCATTTCATTAGCCATGCGGCGTAGGAAAAACATAATTGTGGAGCCTTTTACACCAGGCGTCCTTTGGCACGATTCCCAGATAAAATGGCCCTCAATTAGCTCCCAATCAATGCTGTGCAAGGCACGATGGCGTAGTCAAGCAATGACGTGTTGAGGAGTATGCTAAGTAATACTAAATAAAGAAATTGTGTTGTCTAGAGCAGTCTTTTCCACTTAAAACCCGTCAATGATTATAAGTGAGCCTATTTCATGATATCTGATGCTTGCTTCAGTGTCTTCGAATGTGGAACATTCCCCTTAAGACAGCAGTCATCGGTGTCACGGCGCGCGCGAGTACGTACCGCGGCAGCGGGTGGGAGCATTTAGGTGCGCCTGAGGTGCCACCGGCGAGGTTAAAACGTCACTAGCGCTGATGAGGTACTACAGGCGCGCGCAGGAGATAGCGTTGCGTGAGTCTTCTATTCATGCGTGATGAATAAACCCACAGGTCATACTCACGCCTGTCCTGTACGCAGGTCATACTCACGCCCGCTCTGCCTGCAGGTCACGCAGCCACTACTCTACTTGTCGGTCATGATTACGCGAGTGTTTTGACGGCCGTTCGCGGTTAAAGCAGAACAGCATTTTCCCGCCTGTCGTGATTACGGACACGGGAGGGGGGCATAGCGGTCGTGATTGCCCCCCTCCCATAGTGTTTGTCACATTGTATTTTTCCGGAACTGCAGGAGACAGCGTCACCGCGGTTTTAACGACGACATTGCTTTATCCGCCGGTCATAACAGTGCGTGTGTGTCGGTTAGGACTACATCTTGATTATAAATCCCGCAATAGGGCCTTGTCGATGTTGACTGTATAGAAAACAGTTTTGTGTCGTGGTTACGAAATCGGAGAAATGAAGTACATCCGCGAAAATTCACTCGTTTTTATATCAATATTTCATATAACTTGCTGCAATCCTGTAAATGTGGCAATTGCGTTTATCCCCAACGATTGTGTATGGATCTTGCGAAGCTCTGCAGAAGCCGTGAAGACAGTGTGAGATCTTTGGATGAGAATCTCAATGATATAGGAAACCAAAATGGATTTGTTAACATCCTGTAGAGAGATATCGGCGAAGTTCTCAGGGATCAAAAATGGGTTTTCGAATATCCTTCGAAGGGGCCTCATCGATGTTCTCGATGACTGTAAGGGTGCTCCGCGTGAGGGGTCTCTGAGACTATTTCGAAGTTCTCCGAGACTTTTTTGAAATGTGGTGATCCCATGACAATGTGCATCCTTCTTGGAAACTGGGCAAAGTTATCACCGTCTCTCAGTGCGGTTTTCGCCGAATTCCTTTCGTGAGATGAACTCTTGTCACCACATTTTACGCCGAACAAGTTTGAAAGCTTCAAGTACGGTCTTCAAAAACAGCACGAAAAAGCCATAAAGCGGGTTTTCCCCCGTAGAACTACGCCAGAAAATTTCGGTCTTTCATGGGATATTCCCTGTCTGAGGCCTGCTCATGCCCGCCGTACGCGGACGCCGCCCTGGACCGCCCGCGCGCCGTCGATGGGCACCACCCGCATGGTCGACCGCGAGCTGGTCGCATCACTGCGTTGCTGCATGTTTATGGATCAGTGCCAATGCTTGTGGTGTGTAAAGAAGATGGGACGCCTGCTATAGTAGCTATTTCCGGATTATTTAGCTTTACAGCACACCACAGCCTAACATAAACTTTTGAGAAACGACCTGCCTCATGCATTGACTGGTCTAACAGACATGCGCTTGGCCCTCCTTCAACGTAGCCGGCTGGATCCACTTTTGTATATAGGACAAAAGTACACACTCTTCTTAAATATGCTGCGTGCCTATGTTTGTCGTATGTATTTAGCGTGATTCCAGCATTTGTAGGAAGAGGGTTCGCGTTTCATCGGCCATACATTGCCTACGTTTCATGCAGATCAATACAATTTAAAATAAAACAACACATTATTACGCTATCTGACTGACAGTTTTAGTCGTTATTTGAAACGCCTACCAGGTAGAGGATACCCTCTGCCTGATTGTCGCTATTATGCTATTTACATGACGAGTAGATATGACTTTTATTTACTTCACGACACGGCCCAAATAAGGCGACCTGTGTACATAATGCCTTGGATTGTCATTTTATGTTCGATGTACAATTACATGATCAATACCGCACATTGAGCTTTCGCCTCATAGGACACCAGACCCTCAGCTGGCGACCGCGTGGTCCTCACTGTCTGCGAGCCTGAGATTCTGTGGTCGATCATTGGGATAATGTCCATTTGTTAACATTTGTGCCGGTTCCCGCAATCGTGCCCCAGTTTTTGGACTCCCGACTTCAGCACGTGGTAGGTATCTGGTGTTCAGTTCCAGATGCGGCCGATTGTTTGACCCGGCGATGCCAGTTGGCGGGAGGCGGAAGGGACCCCACGATCAGGCGGCGTGACTGTACCAATGCATCTGATGGCACGTAAAGGGCTCCTCCGGACGGTTGCTGGCAAATATTTCTGTCATAATAGGTGAGTGCGGCTTCGAAGAGTTAAGTCCACAAACTGTTTGGAGCAAACTAAAAGAACTGATGTTTTTTTTCGAAAAACACTGACGTGGCTGACATGGTTCAAGACAAGCAGCACACAAAGACAACAATGGAAGGCGTCAACCTTCTCATTGAAAAACTTTCCTAGCGTGGGACTAACAAACCTCGCCGTTCGAGTCATTCTTCTTGTTAACACAAGGCGCTGGGATCGTGAGTTCTAGACAAGCGCATTGCACGCGCTGTGCAGCACTTGCGGTGCATGGTGCCGCCCTGTTTTGCCCCTACCCGACGAGTGCACATGGTGATCTCCTGTCCCCTGGCACCGAAATCGTTCAGAAATACCTCCCACAGACTTAGGGCTCTCTGATCGTCGTTGCTGGCCACGACAGTTGTCGGCGCTTACACGAACGTGCCCGCACCATCCTGGCAGCTTACGTTAACTGAATTAGTCATTTGAAACGGCTGAGTACGTTGTTTTTGCTGTTGTTGTCGCAGTCGCGCAGCCAGAGCCCAGAACCTTGGCAAGGGGGGGGGGGGCGCAGGGTTGACAAAGGGCCCCCTGATACAAAAAAAACAACCAAATCGCCAGATATGGCCCATTTCTTAATGAGAGCATGCCGATCCTTTATATTTTTCCATTTTTCCTTCTATTGCTGGAATTGAAGTCAAAAGCTACCGCAAGATAACTTCGGACCGAATTTTATAGCCGATAAACTTAAGAAATCATGCGATAAACGATTGCATGAAATAAAACGCCGATGCTCTCAGACGAAATTCAGAATCTTTGTCATAACTTGTACCTGGGTTCTACAGAGACATCAGGGACCCCGCGAATGTAGATTGTGGGTCAAAATAGGTCAACAATTTGTATTAACTTCGCCAAGTCATGTTTGCTTGGAGATGCTCAACTATATACGCAGGTCTGAACATGCTCTCAAAAATCTTAGTAACAAGACACATCACCCAGGCGCTGTAGTCTCCATAGGCGAAGAAGCGTCGGCCCCGCGGCTAACACTAAGCCGCGGTTGACAGGTGGACGAAAATGATGACGCATCTAACAAAAGTACCGTTAAACGCTTTAGAACATCAGATCGTACATTTAGAAGGTAGTTCTGGCGTATATTTCATCGATGCATTTGTTAGATTGATGTCAAGAACGGATTGGCATTTACGGCACCGCGAAGTTATGCAGGCTGGAATCTGGTCGTTGAAAGGGAAGGGAAAGGTAGCATCTCTATTTTTCGTGATAGTTATGGGCGCTGCATGATCTGCAGCAGTCGATGCGCCCTAAAACCCCAAATCATCATCATCATCATCTATTTTTCGTGTTGCTGTAGCTGTCCATCTGTCCCGA